CTTCTCCCCTTCCCCCCCCTCCCCCCCCCCCCCCCACTCTCGCCTCCCCCTTCTTTTCTCCCTCTCTCTTTAACTTCATCCCTCTGAATCTGGCTTTTCTTTCCTTCCTCTTCCTCCTTTCACTTTCCTCTGCTCACTCGCTGTTTCTCTCTGAATCTCTGCTTCAAAGCACTTTCTTTGTGCAGCCTTGGCCCTTATTATGTCATCTTGGACCGCCATGTGAGCTCTACTCGAACCTGGATCCCCCTTTGTTGGATAATAATGATATTCTTGCTGTTATCGGATCCTTACCATTCTTAGCTCCTTCCTATGGACATTTTATGTTGCTTCAATTCCTATGCCTTTTTACGTTGTGACTCTGCTGTGAGCTGTAACCGTGCAGCTTTGTGCTCTACGTGCTTTTTTCTTTGCCCGATTCTGTTTTCTGTGCTTTGTTATAACTTTCCTCTTATCCAAATAAACCTTTGCTCCCCTGCCCCCACTTACACACACATACATATTGGGTGCGCCCATGTATAAAGTGACGATTGTGCAGCACATACTACATTTCCGGGCGCACCTCATGTCAGCATAGCTATATGCCATTGGTATGCTGACATGAGGCGAGACAGGATAGGAAAATTACGGTAAGTATTGGATAACATTTTCCATATTCCTGGCTCACCTCATGTCAGCATACCAATGGGATATAGCTATGCTGACATGAAGGAGAGCCAGGAAAAGAAAATTACGGTAAGTATTGGATAACATTATTCCATATGCCTGGCTCACCTCATGTCAGCATACCAATGGGATATAGCTATGCTGACATGGAGGAGAGCCAGGAAAGGAAAATGACAGTAAGTATTGGATAACAATTTTCTGTAATTGCAGTGCATGCCATAGTGAAATAAATAATTATAGGGTCATTATTCATGGTTAATGCTAAACTGATGACCTGTAAAGGCTTTAAACTGTTATTTAGAGGCAATTTTCGGCAACAAAGTTTGATACTATTCCACAGGCACGCACAATTTTAAAACTTGACATGTTTGGTATCTATATACTGGATGCCACCTCATATTTTATATTTTACCCCCAAAAATTGGGTATTATAACTTGTTTATGTGCACTAAAATGCATTTGAATGTTGATTACTGAAGATTTGGGTTTGATAAACAGTTATGCAATTATTGTGTGATGTAAAAGGTAGCAGCTACCGCTATTTTATTCTCCTGGGTCTTTGCTTTCAGAAAATATATACTTCTATTGGGTTTTAATGAATCTTCGGGCCTAAAAGGTGCATTTTGCATGCATGCATGCATGCAAAAACAGTTCAGGCAGTGAAAGAGTTAAATACATTCAGGGTGGGAATAAGGTTGAGGATGGCAGGATTTTTAATATGAAGCTGAGATCAAGAACAAGGGGACATGACCTCAAACTAGCAAAAGAAAAAGTTTACAACTAACCTTAGAAAGCATTTTACTAAAACATTACTTGATGGTTGGAACAGACTTCCAGCAGAGATGGTTGGAACAGACGTCCAGCAGAGATGGTTGGAACAGACTTCCAGCCGGGATGGTTGGAACACACCTCCAGCAGAGATGGTTGGAACAGACTTCCAACAGAGATGGTTGAAACAGACTTCCAGCCGAGATGGTTGGAACACACCTCCAGCAGAGATGGTTGGAACAGACCTCCAGCAGAGATGGTTGGAACAGACTTCCAGCAGAGATGGTTGGAACAGACTTCCAGCAGAGATGGCTGGAACAGACCTCCAGCAGAGATGGTTGGAAAAGACTTCCAGCAGAGATGGTTGGAACAGACTTCCAGCAGAGGTAGTGAGTCAGTCAACAGCAAGTGAATTTCTACATGCTTGGTACTACAAACACAGATCTATACGGAAAGGTTAACCACCTGCTGTCCCTCCAATTGTAATTAAACAGCCGGACGCACACTCTTGACGGCGGTTGGGCGTTTTTAAACGTCCTTTCCTGCCACCCCCCTCATGGGACTGAAACTGTACACATTGTTTATAGCCAATGAAGACTGTTACATAAAAGCAATCTCTTGCATGGTGCCCAGGAGTGAGCACCCCTCCACCGCCACTGCTTGCTATATCCGATCTCTTCCATGCGGGCCCAGGACCAGCATGGTAGGTCTCCGTGGCTGGATCGGAAAGAGGTCAGCACACTTTTACCAGCTGATCTCCCCTCCGATCACTGGACCAGAAAGTTATCTGTATTACATCACTTCCAGTTTCAGTGTGTCATTTCTCTGGCTACTGTAGCTGGAGAAGAAGCTGGTGAAGCAGATTTCAGCTTCTTTGGGGTCCCTAGGTGACTTTAGTGGTCTGAGAGACCCCTGATGTTTCCATAAAGAGGACCTGTCACTGTATCTGTGCTATCACGTGATAGCAATAAAGTTAAGTGCAAAAGAAAAATGTACAAAAAATATATATATATAACCCCCCCCCAAAATGTTTAGGTCCCACACCCCCCGATACAAATGTAAACACGTGTCAGGTGCGCCTACATGCAGAAACATTGATTGCGCCACATATGTTACATATCACCGTGAACGCCGGAGTGTGAGCAATAATTTTAGGGCCATCAATCATTGTTAACACTAAATTGATTAGCGTTAAAAGTTTTAAATCGTCGCATATGGGCATCTTTGGGTATGGTAGTTTTTTGCGCTGTCTCGGGCGCACGCCATTTTAAGGTGTGACATGTTTGGCATCTATTTATCTGATGTGATCCCATCTTTTATATTTTACAAAACAAATGTTTCATAACATAACTTAGGCAAAAGTTTTTTTTTTCTAAAATTTTTCTTTATATAGTAAAAAATAATACCCCTCGTGGTGATTAAATAAACAAAAGAAAGCTCTATGTGTCCCACCAAAATGATATAAAATTAATTTCAGTACAGTGTTGCATGATGGAATTAACACTGAAAAATGGCCTGGGCAGGAAGGGGGTTTAACACCCCGGTCTTCGACCCCGTTCACGCCGGGGCAGTTCGGCCGCACGGATCCGCTGACACGAACGATCCCATACATTGCTATGGGGACCGTTCATGCGACCACGCGGGTCCACGCAATCTGAACTGCCCCCCGCCTGTACTGCTCCCTGCACTATTTTTGCCGCACTGATCAGTGCAGTTTCCATACAAAAGCCAAAAATTTCAAAAGGGACAACCTCGAATAGACCACTTAGTCTTTTTTTTGCTGTTCACTCTTACTCTCACTGTTAAAAAGAAACTAATATACACATAAAATATGAGCTATAAGTCCACATTGTTTATTTAGCAACAACATATTGCTTACAATGATGTATGTGGCAAAATTCCTCATAAAAAATGATGTAGGGAATACAAAAGCCACAATAGACTTTTTGTACCAGCTCTTTGGCTTGCTTGACGCCCAGCTATCAAGACAGATAAGTAACGGGTTACACAGATTTTCCGCTGCCTCAGTCATCTAATAAAGCTTTAGCTTGTTTAAATAAAAAAAAACTTTCTAGAAAGAGCTGGTGAATTCTGCAAGCAGCAGAGAGAGAGAGACGTACATGGGAGGCTGGGAGCTGATCTCTATATATGAACAGGAGGGGATGGACTGGTGAACACTTAGAGGGGGGAACAGACTTTCTATATCCAGTGCAAGGGACTAGCTCTGTGCATTCCAGTCCTGCTGACAGAGGTGATATGGGGAAAGATTATTATTCGATTCTGGGCATCGAGAAGGGGGCTTCAGAGGAAGACATCAAAAAGGCTTATAGAAAGCAAGCTTTAAAGTGGCATCCGGACAAAAACAAGTCAGCCCACGCAGAGGAGAAGTTCAAAGAGATCGCCGAAGCCTACGAGGTGCTAAGTGACCCCAAGAAGCGAGAGATCTATGACCAGTATGGAGAGGAAGGTATGCATTGTATCAGCATCTTCTAACATTCAAGCTTGTGAATGTACAGAATGTACAGAATACAGACCAGCATGGCATGGAAGGGGTTAATGTGTGTATAATGCCCTTTCAATGCTTCGTAAGTGGTTCAAAAAAGTATGAAGCTAGCATGTTGGCCAAAGATTCTGTTGTTACAATTGCTTAGAGGCTTAAACGTTTAAGCGATCTCGAGCACTTGCCATCTGGGAAGTTCTCGGGAAAAGTCCTGGCATCAATCAACAACCACTACTGTTGCTACATAGGAAAGGGAACAGTCCCTTTGCCATGTGTGAGCTATGCCCACATATTGACATGGGTGTAGAAAAAAATGTTTTGGTGGATTCCAGCAGTGGGCGCTCTAGAGGACAGTGGGCACCTGCCCGTGGTACTCATAGTTACATAGTTTGTTACATAGTAGATAGGATTGGGAAAAAGACACAGGACCATCCAGTCCAACCTATATCAGATATGGCCAGGACAAAATCTATAAAATTGATTGGTCATATCTTAGGATGTTTTAAAGATACTTTGTGACCATTGTATCTCAGATTTTAGCTTTCACATATCTGATCCAATACCCCAAATTGGCAAGCGATGATGAATTTGCACTTTAAACCGCCTTTCTTCTAAAGAAAATAACTCTTGCGAAGGCAGAGACACCCACGCATGAAGCTTTTCAGCTTCCCGGGATGTGAAGACTGCACGTCAGTAGAAATTGTGTGAGACTGGTTGGCACACTTCACAAATGTCAGATGCCGCTTTAGAATTTATCAAAGCAGCTGCTGCGATCAGTCAAAGGGTGATCAGCAATGCAGCAGAGTGATACTTTGAAGCCAGTTTTGGGATACAAGGTAACATCTGGATAGGGTGCGAAAGGTGATGTGGGTAAGGAAGAAAGCAATGTACTCCATGGTAACATACAGGAGGGGGATGTCACTAATCATGTACCATATGTGAAGGAGGATAACATGTCATAGGTAGATCATGCAGGTGAAGAGGATGCTTTTGAAGCAGGGAAGCGATGAGTTATGTCATTTTTGCAGTATATATGTATGTGATAATTAGGGATGCACCGATAGCGGTTTTTCGGTATCGAGTACCGATATTTTTTTTCAGTACTCGCCGATACCGAGTACCAAGTACCAGTACATTGTGCTCCTATTATTAGGAAGTCGGGTGGCCGATCATGACCTGTTCTGTTGCCCGGCTTACTGACTGCCTGTGAAGCTGGTGTTCTAGCGAAAGAACACCAGCTTCAGAGGCTGCTTGGCTTCCTGACCAGTCAGGAAGCCGGGCGGCGAGTCATGAGGTGCCATTTGGCTTCCTGAATAGTCAGGAAGCCAGGCTGCCTAGCAACAAGTGAAGCCAGCTTCCTAGCCAATGAGGAAGCAGGGCAGCACGTCATGACCTGCCTCCTGGCTTCCTGATTGGCTAGGAAGCCAGCTTCACTTGTTTCTAGGCAGCAGGGCTTCCTGACCAATCAGGAAGCCGGGACATGAGTCACAATGTGCCGCCGGCTTCCTGATTGGCTAGGAAGCCAGGCTGGCTACCAACAAGTGAAGCTGGCTTCCTAGCCAATCAGAAAGTCGGATGGCACGTCATGACCTGCCTCCTGGCTTCCTGATTGGCTAAGAAGCTGGCTTCACTTGTTCCTAGGCAGCCTGGCTTCCTGACCAATCAGGAAGCCCAGAGACCGGTCATGACGTGCCGCCTGGCTTCCTGATTGGTTAGGAAGCCAGGCTCCTTAGCAACATATGAAGCTGGCTTCCTTGCCAATCAGGAAGCCAGGAGGCGGGTCATAACCCACTGCCGGCTTCCTGATTGTAAAGTACTCGCCCAAAATACCCGGTATCGGCACCGATACTGATACTAGTATCAGTATCGGTTCATCCCTAGTGATAATACATAGAGAGCAATTTGCTTCTAGAGTTAATAGTAACAGCTTTAAAGACTCTGGTCTCACATTTCCAGTATATCACTATCTTGGAATTCAGTTAAAGACCACTTGTACTTTAAAGCTGAATTTTTTGGCCATTTGCCATTTACTGCAGCACATTGGCTTAGTGGTTAGCAGCACTGGGGGTCCTTGGTTCCATTCCCGGTCAGGACACTATCTGCAAGGAGTTTGCATGTTCTCCCTGCTCTTGTGTGAGTTTTCTTAGTGTCCTCTGGTTTCCGCGCAAGCTCTAAAAACATGTTGGAAGGTTAATTGGCTCCAGTCTAAATTGTGTGTGCAATAGGGACCTTTGGTTGTAAGCCCCTTGAGGGTAGGGACTGATGTAAATGTATAGTATGTAAAGCACTGTGTAAGTAGTCTGTGCTTTATAAATACCTGTAATAAAGAAATAATATCTTACCACAATGGACGGGTGTCCCATCTGGGGCTGGCTGCTGCATTAGTTCAAATGATCATGTTTATGGACCTCGACCCCTCTGTAAGTGTTGAACTTCCAGCATAACAAGTTACAGTCCCAACATTAGTACAGTTAAGACGGTGGTTCACTTGTTTGGCACTTTGGTCATTCACAAATCTTCTTATATTTTTCACACAGAATAAAGGCATTCTGTGAATGGACAAGGGAGATCACATGGGGAGAGTAAACCATGTGATCTCCCTTGTCCATTCACAGAACACCTTGTATGGTGTGTAAAAAAGACATTTTGCAAATGGCCAGAGTGCTGAGTGAACAACCCACTATCTGCAGTGTGCTACATCCGGGACCGTAACTTTGTGTGCTGGAAGTTCAGTGCTTAGGAAGGGGTTTTAACGTAACAGCGAGACTCAGATGGGACTCCTGTCCTTAGTAGTAAGGTATTAGTAAATTGCAAATAACCAAAAAGCATTTTTTTTCCTGGAGTTCCGCTTCAAAGGTTATGTAATAGAATAAAAAGCCCTCTGTTATATAAAAAAAACAATGCAATGTGTCAAACACTATAAACTGATGCTATTTATCCTAACTGACACTTTTATTCAGTGGTCACATGACCGCATGGGCATTCTTCCAAAGCTTCTTTCTGAGTTCAGGGGGCATGAGCACATTCACTAGGCACAGCTGCTGTTGGGACAGTGAGGCTTCTGCTGATACTTTCCTCTTACCTCTGTGTCACCACAGGACTCAGCAGTAATGTAAGGGTGGCAGCTGGGAACCACGATGTTTGCTGAGGGGGGGGGGGGGGACAAAGACATCAAACATTTCCCAAAGTTGGAATGCTAAAGACATTGAAGACACACTGCTGGAGGGGAGGTAGGACTAATGGGCCTCCGGAGAAGTGAAAGCACATTACCAATCTTTAAATGTGTTGGCTGCATTCACTTTCTTGCTAGTCGGCCCCGCTAGCTGTCAAAATACCTGAACAATCTGATTGGATGCAGGCATTGTTCAGGTATTTTGGGAACCAGCGGGGCCGACTAGCAAGATACAGAAGCTTGGCCCAGTGGGAGATTCCGCCATCCACACAGTTTAGCGTAGATGGAGGAATCTGTTGCACTTTTTCCATTTGACCATAGAAAATCTGCAGATAATCTATAGGTGTATGGCCAACTTAAGAGTGGCTCCACTCTATGGATGAGCAACAGAGTCACCTTTGGACAGCAGCATTATCACCAGGGAGATTCCGCCATCCACACAGTTTAGCGTAGATGGAGGAATCTGTTGCACTTTTTCCATTTGACCATAGAAAATCTGCAGATAATCTATAGGTGTATGGCCAACTTAAGAGTGGCTCCACTCTATGGATGAGCAACAGAGTCACCTTTGGACAGCAGCATTATCACCCAGTGGGGAAGGTAGTATTAGATGCACTAGCAGATTTAGAAGGACTTGACTAAATAATAAAAGCCGAACTCTAGCTAACACTTTTTAAGCAGTTACAACAATGCTTTTTTTTGGGCTAAATTTATTTTATGTAAATGAATGGCTAACCATTGTAAGCAGCCCTTTCAGGGTAAATGGTTTGCTCAACCCTCTATCTGCCATTTTGGATGGGCAACTTGGTCTTTTAAAGGAAGTTGAAAAAACACACTTACTGGTTGGATAACCAATTGAAAAAAAGTAAAATAACCCTAAAAAAACTGATGCAAGCAACCCATCTAAGAATTGGTTAAGCTGCAATACAGTATATCACATTTTTGCTTTTGGGTTTAGATACGCTTGCATTAGAAGAGCTTATCTCTTGCAGGGCACTGTTATATGGATTGTTTCCTCTAACATAGCATGTTCCAGTGACAATTTCCATAATGTGGTAGTTTGATACAACAAAAGGAACAATAAATGAGCACGAAGCAGAAAAGACAATGGGTAACCCTAATGTTTAACTATAACGAATTCTTCCAGCTTACTAGAACATGACTTTTGTAAGAGTATAACATTTTGGGGGGAAAAATTGAATTTTTGGAATAATAAATGTAAATGACTATGCTAGTTGAAAGCAGAACGTGAAGGCCTGTTAATGAATTGATAACTTTAAGTAGACCGATCATGATGATTTAAGCATGTAGATCTGTACAGCAAGGGAAAGAGGGGAGGTAACTATTGCATCAGTGCAAACGTACGTCCCTTTCACAACGGTAGTCCATTCAGATCGACCTGTCAGCTTTTCTGCCAGGTCTGATCGCAAGCTCAATGTATCTCTATGGGCAGCCTGATCTAAACGGACCGTATTTTTCCGTCTATAAGACGCCCCCATGTATAGGACGCGCCCCACTTTTCTTACCCAAAATACAGAAATCAATATTTCCCATGCTCTTTTGCATAACTGATTACATCCAGTTTAAATTTTGCAGAGTAAGACAGCCACTTACTGGTACCTGTATTTTTTTTTTTTCTGACATTTTTATGGGCTCCCTGTTGCATCCGGGCACTGGCTACACGCTCTCCGCAGCATCAGCTGACATCAGGTACATAAGGATCATGATTGGAGGAAACCTGTTAGCTTGTCTCTGCAATCGGAAGTTTGCAGGGGGTATCGGCAGTTTCGCAACCGCGGTTCTCCTCTCGGCCCCCCGTGTATAAGACGCCCCTCCATTTTTAGGTAAATATTTTAAAGAAAAAGTATAGTCTTATACACGGAAAAATACAGTAAGCTCGTTGTAGGTTATTTGTTATAGTGCAAATCCAGCACCTTCATTAATACCTGTGTACTGGCTTAGCACATGATGCTTTATGGTGGCATCAGAGGCCTATTAGACCCCTGAATAGGGTTGACACCTTTTTTTCAAGAGACGCACGGACATTTTTTTTGGGAGAATGAATCGTGGCTTATTCATATGTAAATAGCACCACCCATTCGTATGCAAATATCACAGTTGAGACTATTTTCAGTGGGTGGCCAGTAGCCCCTATCTTAATTTTCATTACCCCTGTCTGCCTGACATCATGTGTCCGGGTCTCTGCTGCCATGAAACCCAGACACAGCATTCAAAACTCGGACTGTCCGGGTGAATCCTGGACAAGTGGCAACCCTACCCCTGATTCTTTGTGCATGGAAAGTAGGCCAGTTTGAATGTAAGCCTATTTAACCCACCAGCGTGTTTTTGGATTGAAGGAGGATACAGTAGTAGCTAGAGGAAACTCCCACAAACACTGGCAGAACATGCACACTCCATGCAGCTGGAGTCTTTAGTGGGAATCTAAGGGGCCTTGCACACCCTGTTACGAAACACACAGAGAAAAATATAGGAGTGATGTCACCACTTCTATATAATGCATGCATGAACTTCCTTCCTTTGGCTCTCAGCCCAGGAGACTAAGAATGCAGATGATGAGGTCACGAAATTCCAAGACTGATTGTTAAATGTAATTGCAAGCAGTAGTGTTGTGCCAAAGGGAATGCATCTGAGAAATCTCCAAATTAAGCTTGAAGGAAGCACAGTCACAGTCCCAGGAATGGAGATTTCTGCCAGGAGGCTGTGCTTGAATAGCATTCAGTTCAGATCTGATTTTCTTTTTTTTTAAGTGGACCAATCATTGAAATTCATGAATCAACAAGGGAAATGTCAGCATTACTAAATGACATTATTATTCCGATTACAAAACTCACATGTTCCTTGTCCATAAATAAGAAGCTGCTCTTCCTGAGCTCCGAGCCAAGGCAGACTAAAACCTTTGATCTGTAATGTTGACCGCTGCATCCTTTTAATATTTTAAAAGTCTGACATTATCCTGGCTTGTCATAAAATCCTCCTCTGGGCAGCACTCTTGTCCTGGTTTTCATTTCCTTACCTATGAGATATCTTAAGATGACTTTAAAACTCTGAGGTCCTTCGGGTTCATTTTAATCTTGATCCCCCAGTTGCATATGCTTGCGATCATCCCCCTCCACTTACCACTGGAAGAAAAGAAAAGAAGGCCCGTGTAAACTCCAAGTCAGGACTCACTCTCCATGCCCATGCCATGTGACAGCGCTGGGTGCTTGGGTGCCATAGCTCCCAACTGCCCCTGATTAGAGGGACTAGGGACTGCCTCTTTTTGGGGATCAACTCCCTCTGTCCCTCTTTCCTTTTCAGTTGTTCTCCTTTATGGTACAGATCTCCCTAAATAAATGTATTTTATAGCTACCAAAGTGTTATATTGCACTACACCTTTCATTCAACCTCTAAAATATTGTGTTCCAATGACCACTGGAAGAGCTGCTGGATTGTATGGTCCCACCTAGCCTTCGTACTGGTGATTTGGCCTGTAGCTGCACCCAGACTCGCTCACCCACCAATGGCAACAGGCAGACAGACTTCCACTCCATCAATCTCTTTATTGCTATTTTATTGGCTCAGTTTTCATTTTGACAAGCCAGAATAAAGGAAGAGTAATGGTGAAAAAAGTACACATGGGTTAACCAATCATTTATTTGCTAATTAATTATATGTGGTCTGCATATCTGTAGCCATGGCAGGGGTGTGTCCCTTTGCCTACATATTCAAAGATGTCCTTCTTTCTCATCTCAGAAAGTTAGGAGGTATATGGGGCAGCTAATAAACAAGAACCAGCACTGTTACATGGGAGGAAGAGCAGTAGGGTACACGCTCTTCCAAAGTATTGGGTATTTTTCTTCACTCCTTTATGCTGAATGGAACAGCCAGGACTGGGGGTGAAGAGGGGGGGGGGGGTTGGGTTTTGCCGCAGCGTCCCAGGTTTCTAAGAGCTCTTAGCAACCTGTGATGCTTGGTCCGGCTGCCTGCCCATCTCACTGGTGTTAGGAGCTGAGCAAGACGCCAGCCAGAGCTCCTGGCAACCAGTGACATCAGTGAGCTGGGTGGGACACTATACAGAGCCGCTGACAGCACCCCTACCCTCCAGGATGACCATAAGCTGAGAGAACCCCCCCTCCCTGAATGACTGAATGACATAGTAGTTGATAGTCCCCCCCACCCCCAGAACACGACCATTAGCTGATAGCACAGCATACCTGCACATTGTGGCACACTTACTTTATATGTGTCTTTCTCCAGGGCTGTGTGATGCATCTTTGCTCCTCTGCTTGGTCCCCTGCTGCCACCAGATGCCATAAATGAGCTGAGAGTGTATACTGCCTGGCACATGCATTGCACAATGTGGACAAAAAATGCATTACATTTTCCCACTGCGAGGCAGTGCACGGTATGGCAGTGTCACGCTTTGCACTGTGCTGCAACACATGGCTGCTGGTAGGTGCATTGGGGTGCCATTCCAAGGAATGCCAAAGCAACGCACCTAGAACACAGTACCACACGCTAAGTGCGCTGTGCTGTAGCGTGCGCTAAATGCCACGCTATGATGTGAACAAGCGCATAAGGCTGCTTTCTTTGTCCTGTCTTTACTGTATTGGGCAATACAGGCCAACGCTGCTTTTGTGAACGAGCTGTAAGATCTGTCTTTAGCCTTAGGAGCTTTATAAATGACCTTAAGGCCTGGTTCACACCGGGGTGTTTTACAGTGCGCTCAACATGTGAAAACGCTCAACATGTGAAAACCAATAATTGCCTATGGGCATGGTTCCCACCTGGGCGTTTTACAGTGCGTTGGAAACGCGCATTTGTCGTGCGTTTCTTTTACCGCAAATCGCGGTAAAAACGCGCGGCACGAAACGTGCAGCAAACATGCATATTCCGTACACCCAGGTGTGAACCCAGCCTTAAAGAATGTACTAATCAAATATTATATAATGGATTATTTTCAGTGTGTTCCTTCTGCTTTGGCCATGTGTTGCTTGTCTCGCTCGCTGAACTTTGGAACGAGCTATACCGTGGCAGCTAGAAGAACCAGGAAATACCTCTTTTATATTTCACTTTGTACAGTTCAGCGATTTATTTAAGTCAGAAAACCTTTACATTTACCTTGATTTATGACAGTGGTGCTCATGGGGAGCTGGAGAAAAAGCTTCACTCACTCATTCAATGCTCATGGAGTGCCACCCACTCAGTGTTTATTCTAGGAAATGCCAGGGCCGTAGCCACTTGTTTCATTTTGTCTTCAGCCTTTCAAACAACGTCAGCCAGAGGTATGACGCTCGCTGCCAAAATGAAAAGATCCCCAGCTTACCCCTACCACTTTGTCCTAGGCACCCTATATAAGTAATTGGATATCTCTACTGTATTCCTGTAATGCATAGCAGTGGGAAGGAACTTGAAAGGGGCAGCTCTGTAAACCAATCATTAATATTAAAGTGATATTATTGTCAGATGCCTCCGCAAATCTCATGAAACCAGTAAAAAGTCACTCGCACTCCAAAGCGATGACAAGTCAATCTCTTTATTGACTATGGTAGTGTAACATCTCAGAGCGACATTTCGGAACCCAGTGGTCCCTTCTTCAGGCAAACTTTACTGGTTTACTGTTTCCACAAACACACAGGCACATTAGGGCAATCTACTCCACTGCTCTCCTCACCTTTCCTGGGCTGCACTGTCCCTTGTGATCTTAACAGGAAGTTTAGGTAAGCTGAGAGAGTTGGAGCTGTTCTGAAACATGATGACTGTAAGTTCTTGGGCAAAAATGTAAAGAAATACTTTACTTTGAGAGTTTAATACTACTTTAATGTTGTATTAAAAACATTCATACTTGTTCTTTCCAGGGCTTAAAGGAGGACCCAATGCACAAAATGGACACGGAGGAAACTTTCACTACACGTTCCATGGAGATCCTCATGCCACATTTGCGGCGTTTTTTGGGGGAGCAAACCCTTTCGAAATGTTTTTCGGGAGACGGATGGGCGGAGGTCGGGATGACGAGGACATGGAACTGGACAGCGATCCGTTTGGCTCATTTTCTAGCTTCGGCATGAATGGGTTTCCGAGAGAAAAGAACCAGGTCGGAAACCAGATCAGGCGTAAGCAGGACCCGCCGATCATTCACGAGCTCAGGGTGTCTCTGGAAGAGATCTATCAGGGGTGCACTAAAAGGATGAGAATCTCCAGAAAAAGACTGAACCCCGATGGAAGAAGTGTGAGGACTGAGGACAAGATCCTGACCATTGAGATTAAAAAGGGGTGGAAAGAAGGCACCAAAATCACATTCCCCAAGGAGGGAGATGAGATGCCAATGACCATTCCTGCCGATGTAGTCTTTGTTATTAAAGACAAATCCCACACTCATTTTAAGAGGGATGGATCGAACATTGTCTGCCCTTTACAGATCAACCTGCGAGAGGTGAGACTTTGCTTTAGTTATATTATAACCTTTTATATTTCAAAGTGTTTTACTGTGAATAGAAGAAAATAACGTTATTATTATCCTTGTTTTACTTAGTGAATCACTAACTCAGCATGTGCATATCAGATATTCCAACACAGCAATCTCCTTGTAGCCTGTGACAACTTAAAGTATAGCTGAAGTCAAAACTTTTTTTTGTTTTGTTTTGGATAGAGTAAGGGAGGGTTATAAACCCTTTTTTTTACCATCTGTGTCCTGTTGGGGAGATTTCCCTCCACTTCCTGTCCAGTAACCATAACGGGAAGTGAGAGGAAATCCCTCCAAAATGAGTGAAATCCCTTGTGGTCAGCAGGGTCACCAGAACTAGCGTCAAACCAAGATTTTGAATAGAATGAGAGGGGAATTAGAACACCAACCAGGTTTTGTGGCTGTCTGTGTCCCCGTTAGAGAGATTCAACGTTTTTATTTGTCCTGGTGACCATTATCACTAAAAGTAAATTAAACATTTTGGATTGTCGTCAGAACAGGAATAGATGGGAAATCTTCCAATGGAGACCCCGAGGCTGGGTGACACCTGGAGCAGTTACCGGGTGTCACCCCGCTGAGACGTCACTGCGCATGTGTGTGACGTCACCACACATGTGCACGATGATGTAATCGCGCAGGCGCGGCGATCTTCTGATACCTGACGGCGGCCATCTTGGTGATGGACACCGGCAGAGAGAGGAGGGGACAGTCACCCGGCGGGATAAGGTATGCCGCCGGGTCCCCTCCTCTCTCCTGATACTGCTGGGCGTTCGGTCCATGACCGAGCACCCGACTTTTCAGAAGGGGGGTGACACCAAAATTACTGTCAGTCATTTTGGTGTCACCCCTCCAATGGTGGCACCCCCCTTGTGACGCCACTGAATGGAGACACTAGTTCTGGTGACTCTGCTGACCACTAGGAACTTTATCCCACTTCCTGTTGTGGCTGTCAGACAGGACTTTAAAGGAAATCTTCCCAATGGGACGCAGATGGCAAAAAAAGGCTGACATGGGTGATCACCACTCCCTACTCTAACTTTTACTTAGTGTTAGTAGCTGCTGCATGTACCAATCCTTGTTAAACAGATTATCTTGCGGTCACTGTAATTTTCTTATCTCTAATTTCCATATCTGATTCCTAAAAGGATTTCCCTCTGAGTTACACACTGATGAAAGAGAATTTTGTGCCCCAAAATGTGTTGGTTCTTTGATGCTTTTTATCTCTATCAATATAACATTTTGGACTCTTCTTCATTTGGTAATTGTTCCATTCTATAATTGTTCTTTGCTTCAGTCGTAAGATACAATATGGCCCACATCCATTGTAGCATTTTCTGTGTACTGTGTCCTCCTCTAATGTAGCATGTTCTCAGGACTCTGTCCACATCTATTGTAGCATGTTCTCAGGACTGTGTCTACATCTATTTTAGTATGTTCTCAGGACTGTGTCTACATCTATTGTAGTATGTTCTCAGGACTGTGCCCACATCTATTGTAGCATGTCTATTGTAGCATTTTTTCAGGACTGCGTCTGATTTTTACTAACCTGTGATGTTTTTCTCTTTCTTAAGCTGGCCATACACCTATAGATTATCTGCAGATTTTCTATGGTCAGATGTAAAAAGAACAACAGATTCCTCCATCTACACTAAACGGTGTGGATGGAGGAATCTCCCACTGGGCCAAGCTTCAGTATCTTGCTAGTCGGCCTAGCTGGCTGTCAAAATACCTGAACAATCTGATTGGATACAGGCATTGTTCAGGTATTTTGAGAGCCAGCGGGGCCGACTAGCAAAATACTGAAGCTTGGCCCAGTGGTAGATTCCTCCATCCACACAGTTTAGAGTAGATGGAGGAATCCGTTGCACTTTTTCCATCTGACCCTAGAAAATCTGCAGATAACCTATAGGTGTATGGCCAGCTTTACTAACAGATGACACTATGCTTTTTCTCACTGGTGGTTGGCAATCCTAAAACCTGCTGCTGTGAGCTAAAATATGGAGAGTTAATTGACACACCCAGAACTGATCTAATTACAGTTAGTGCACTGCTAACAGAGGTGCTGCAGTCATAGCATTACATATAAAGGGTTTTATGGTAATGAACCTAAGGAATGTGATTGTTTATCTTTGCTTTTGTGTCATATGTATTTGTGGTTTGTGTGTGTATGCAGATTATTGCCAGGTCACAAACGGTCAACTGATTTAAGTGCAGTGCATCTATATTATATTCCATCTAGTCTGTGTCCGTGGTTAAGGCAGGCGGCTAGCAGAGAGTGGTCAGGTGGTCCTGGTTGGCAGGGTTAGGCTCTCTGTCTGTTTCTTCTGGGTTGATTCTTCCCTTTATTTGTCTCATGACCATTGTCACCAAGACAGCAAGTAAGGAAAAATCCTAAATTTATAGAGCTGTCATTAAAAACAAGAAATTAGGGTAAATTTCCCACCGGGGAACATTCTGGTGACAGCTGTCTAAGATGAAAATTCACATCACAATGGGAAAAATACCTCTCACTTCCTGTTGCATCTCCAAGGCAAAATGTTTTAGCTATATATGCATTTAAAGGGCACTAGTGCAGAGTAGTAGGTGCTGTCAGGGCTGCTGTTTCCTGGCTGCACCTTATGTACCCAAATTAGGGAATAGAGGGAATTTACATGTACAGGATAGATATTGAAGGCCTCCATATGAAATAGGAACAGGCAACGTCAGAGGGCTTAGGGTTTGGCAGTATTATCTTTCCAGGATGGTAGAACAGAATAGACCAGGGGGCACAATAGCTTGTCAACTGGGTAGAAAGAAATTAAATGTGAAAACAAGCGTGCACATTACTGTTGTTAGACCAGCAAAAGTAATTTGTTACATATAATACATGACAAAGAACTATGGGTTATCTAAAAAGAAAGCAGCTTACTTTGCAGCTCCCTTTGCCTGACTGAAACCTCCAGCTCAGCTGTCTGGTAAGTATTAAGCCACTATATTGATGACTCATTGGAGTTCTCGATATCGAGTACTCCTAAAAAGTAATGATTCAAATGATCTGAAAAGGAGACTGGAGGTCCCCCTTCTGGAAGGATGAAAGAAATTTTTTTTTTTTTATATGGGTGGACTACAACAAGCACTAGGGATGCACTGATACCAAGTACGGGGTCTCGGTACAAGTACAAGTACAGATACTTTTCGAGCTCCAAGACTAGACAAGAGAACAATTCAAAAGTTAGGAGGCAGCTGTCATTTGTAAGGAGCACACGGAGCTCCTGGTATTTGTACATCTCTGTTTTAATGTACGATTTTGTTTTTATAAATATAAATAAAGGGATGCACAGATACCAGTTTCTCGAGTAGTGGTACATGCCGAGTACTTACAAGTACAAGTACTGATAAATTTCTGTTTATTGTCATGTGACAGTTTTTCTTAAACAATACAGACTAATGATTTCAGGACAGTGGTGGAGCGCCAGAGCCTGGTCCCAGCTGCAACCACTACAACCCTGGTAGTTCTCATGAAAATGCCAAGTATCTGCACTGGTATCGATGCATCCCTACTTTCCACTTATAAAGACTATATTACATATTTATTTAAATTAAACGTTTATCAAATGTTACAATGTATTTCACAGATAGTGTAATTTTATAATGTTCTCCATAACTACTATAAAGCTAACGTTCTAATAAATTTCAGGCTCTCTGTGGATGCTCAATCACTGTGCCCACTCTAGACGGACGGAATATCCCCATGACAATCAACGAAGTAATAAAACCCGGGATGAGGAGGAGGATTATTGGCTATGGACTCCCTTTTCCAAAAAACCCCGATCATCGCGGAGATCTACTGGTTGAGTTTGAAGTTGTATTCCCAGACACCATTCCACAGGCATCGAAGGAGATTCTAAAAAGACATCTGCCTGTTTCCTAGAATATCTGCTACAGCTGACAGGAAGGCGGCCTCGGCACTGTATTACCGCATATGAAGACCTACAAATAAACTACAGCTGTGCACCCGGTATTATGTTATCCGAGGGTGTACGTGCACTTTTACAGTATTAGGATGGGCAGCGTGTGCGCCGTGTGACAGTTCCTAAAAGAACTTGTGCTTGTGTCTGTTTTCTACGCCACAGGCTTGCTAGTGACGGGTGATTAATATACCAGCATTTTTTTTGTTACTCTAGAGCTGATTTTGTATTAGAAGACTTGTGAATATATATTCGTTGGTGACACTAAACCCAAAGACTTGTGATGGTGCATGTTGCACTGCACTTTAAAAGCAAATCTAAGCAGTGACTTAAAGTGACACTAAACTCAGGAGTTTAATCTTAAAATTACATTCAAGTACCATAACTACTAACAGAAATGTATCTTATTTGTGTATCACTCGGCTGTAGATCCTCAAATCATCTCTGAATTGGTGCTGACACTGTCCTTCCTTCTGGAGGGGGGCTACTTTTGTTCCCCATGGTCCCTGTGTGTGTTGTAAAGTAGTCACCGATCCAAGCTCGCTTCCGTGATGGGCTACAATCTCATGTTTAGTTTACTAACTTGTATTGAGATTGTAGTCCATCATGAGAGTGAGCTTGGAGCGGTGACTACATTACAGCACACACAGGGACCATGGGGAACAAAAGTAGCCACCCTCCAGAAGGAAGGACAGTGTCAGCACCAATTCAGAGATGATTTGAGGATCTACAGCCCAGTGATACACAAATAAGATACATTTGTATTAGTAGTTATGGTACTTGAATGTAATTTTAAGATTTAACTCCTGAGTTTAGTGTCGCTTTAAATCAGTTAAAGTTGCATTTGAAGCCCAATCCCAACCAGAACTTTTTAAGGGTATGTAAATGCTAACAATGACTGTCTCTTATTTACTACCTTTTGGGCTGATAAACTATAACTAAAGGCAAAAAATAGTTTTTACTAGTTTTGGATAGAATGGAGAGGGATTATAACTACTGTCAGGTTTTTATTCTTGTCTGTGTCCCTGTTATAGAGATTCACTCTCTCTAATTGTCCTGATCACCAATGTCACTGTGAATGAAAGTAAAGGTAAACCCAGATTTTTCACTGAAGAAAGGGAAATATGATAATATATAGTACAATCTATTATTTACAATAACAATATATATTTTTTGTTTTTGGGTTCAGATTAAGGATGCACCGACACTGATACTAGTATCGGTATTGGTGCAGATACCGAGTATTTGGGTGAGTACTTGTACTTGCCCAAATGCTTCGATACTTACCCCCTGATAACGGAACTTCCAGTCATAGGGAGATTCCCTCTGACCGGCAGTCCTGTGAGGGAACATGGAGCTGGCTTCCTGGCCAATCAGGAAGCCGGGCGACCCTCCTCCCAGCGTCCTGATTGGCCGGGAAGCCAGCTCGATGCTGATTGGCTGGGAAGCTGGATCCATGCTAGTGGAAGTACAGGTATCTGTACTCGATATCGGCAAATACCGAAAGAGAAATATCTGTACTCATACTTGATACCGAAGAACCAATATCGATGCATCTCTAGTTTAGATACACTTCAATGTTGTTTTATATCGCATTAGGCAGGGTTAGGACTTTGGTTAGGACTTTTTAAATGCTGTGCGCCCATTAAGGAGATTTTTTCTGCTTGATTTTTTTGGCGTTGTGTCCTCATACAAAATACTCCCATCCTCTTCTGACATCTGTCACCTGGACAGGAAGTGAGGGTAAATCTCTATCCTCATACCACAGATGGAAATAAAATCCTGACAGATATTCTATCTCACTTTGCTAGAACATTGGCCTTCCATGCTATCCAAAACTAAAAAAACTGGAGTTGGGCTTTAATAACAGCTTCAGTTGATTTGTCGGTGTGTGGTGTATGTTTTGCCATCCCTGAAGAAGAAAGCCCAAGCTTGAGCAAATGTAACATAGATCGGGGCCTAGGATGGCAAAATGTTAGGGAGTGGCTTAGCATATTTTTCATATTTTTTAAATCTTTATTATATAGATCTTCAGGGAGAAAAATATTAGAAAATGTATATTTTACCTTACAAAAAATGAACATCTCAGTTGAGGTGTATACAACTGTAAGTGGTCACGAGGGAACAGTACAATACAAGTAATCAGGATTTAACATATAATTAAACTCACACTTTTTCAATAATTCATCCAGATCAAATAAATATACATTGCCCATTTCTGCCCAAACACAGTCATCGTGTTTCCAAACAGCTCCAACTCTCTCAGCTCTGCTTTCCTGATCTTCCTGTCCAGTACAAGATCCCAAGGAACAGAGCAAACTGCAGCAGACATCCATTTACTAGCTTGGAAAAGGGAGCAGGACGGAGAGAGGAAATGGGAGAGAGTTAGAAGGGGAGTAAATTGCCCTGGTGTACTTTGCAGAGACACACATATTCCTATCACACACAAGGGTGGCTGCATAGGACCCTGCAAGGCAAAGAAGGATATCAGGGCCAGTGCTCAGGAGACCAGCTGAATCTGCAGGAAACTAATACTTTTAAACAATAAGAGGTAGCATCCACTGCAAGTAATTTAATCAACATTTACATTTCCTTAAAAAAACTTTGACTTTATCATCACTTTAAAGTGCTAATAAACCCTAAATATTAATAGCAACTTAACTGGGCACCTTCCGTGTTTTCGACATGCTCTCTAAGAGCTTGCAGTTCTTCTTCCATGAGCTACTTCAAAGATCCCTGCTTAGGGTTTCCTCCGCTGGGAGGCTCCATTGCCTTTTGGGGTCCTATGGAGCCACTCTTACGTGCACACTCTCGGTAGAGGCCATGAGCCAGCTGCCTGTGTTGACATACACAGGTGGCAACAGAGGACTAAGTCGGGGGAACGCATGCGCGGTGGCACTGGTAGTGCTAAGACCCATTGGACATGTAGTCCCAAAGAGAGGGCTTGAGGGACAATAATGCCGTTACCCCCAGAAGTTCGAGGAAACTGCGCAAAGCACGTCTGAGGCTGCGCTAGCAGGAGCATCTGGTTGTGAGTGTTTATGCACTTTTTTTATAGTTAAAAAAAGCATTGTTTTCTGTTTATCTAACCTAAATACATCAAAGCCTGAGAAAAAATGTGAGGCTACAATACCGCTTTTAATTCAACGCTGTTTAGCACTCTCATCTTTTCACTTGTATCTTCTTGTTTCTGTTCTCAAATAACAGTACTGACGTATTTCTTTCTGATAATTGCTGCGGAAAACATCTGAGTCCTTTTATACTTATTATTTGTTGTTATGCTACCAAACAGAACAATATTTTAAAGTGAACCTGTGCTTTGCCCATGCACATCCTGCTTCCCTGTGCTGCTATACTGATCTTTACTTCGACCCCTTGCTGCCATGTTCACCCGATAAACTGAAGAGAAAAAGCCTGGTGTAAGTGACAAATAAAAAATGTGGATTTATTAATTTTTTGATTTGAGCTTGCAAAGTTGAATTGCGGTGATATGCATAGGCTCCTGCAGACTATTCCCCCAACCTAGGTCCGTACCACAGCAGTGTCAGCCTGGTCATTTAGTCTTTTCATTCACGGATCCTGTGAATGGATAAGTGAATGAATGATGCACAGTCATGTCAAATTCAAATAAAAACAGGAGCCTGTGGGGAGAAGCACCCTGTGATTCAAGAAAGTGAGGGGACGGGTTGAGGGTTAGGGGCTGGTAATTACACCATGTTCCATGTTACTGTATGCTCTACATATGGTTGTAACAGGGAACATGTGATTAGCATTCGACAAGGCTGTGGACTACCCACGCCCAGCTCTGTATTAAGGAACGAAGGGGCGACAGTCACCTCTCCACCATACTCAGAAGTAGCAGGTATTTTACTATCTTCGCCGGGTGAATAGCGTAGGAAGAGAATGAAGGGAAGGTTGGTGTAAGACGTGGTGGTGAGGGTGGCATTAAGTGAACCTGCAGAGTCTCATTAAAGCCCAACTCAAGCCCTAACTTTTTTTTCATTTTAGAGTGGGGAAGAATGAGAAACCCAGTCCTGTTTTTATTTGTTATCTGTGTTCCAATTGGGGAAAGCTCTCCAGTGCAGAGAGTAACTAGGAAAGGTTAGAACATCTGTCAGGTTACTATTACTGCTTGTGTCTTTATTGTCTTAGTGACAACCCCGTGCCTTTTGTCACAGATAGAGGGAGTTATGGGAAATCTCCCCAAGGTGGTCATGGACAGCACAACCTGACAGAAGCATTTACTTTTTTCTTCTCCTAAAAAACTTTTAAAGGAGAACTACGGGGTCAGTGTTTTTCCCCATAGTTCTCCTTAGGGTAACGGGAGGACACAAACTAGCGTCCTCCCGTCACCCTAGGCTCAGTATACCGCGAGCTGCAGCTCGCGGTATGCTGAGACGCCGCAGCCGGAGCGGATCCCGACGTAGATGACGGGATCCGCCCAGCTGCGTGAGTGACAGCTGGCTCTGCCTATCTAGAGGCAGAGCCAGCTGTACCCGCCCCCTCCCCCGTCAGTTCCACCAGTCAGCGCTGGCAGATCGGAGAGAGGGGAATCCAGCCCCTCCCCCTGTCACGGCAGAGAGCCGTGACAGGATCGAGAGGTGAGCGAACCTGGTATGTGTTCGCTCACCTCCCGATCTACTGAGCCGACCTGTGACAGTCTCATTGTCACAGGTCGGCTAGAACTATGAGGTGAGTGGAAATCACTCATCTCATAGTTCTCCTTTAACTTGAGTTGAGCTTTAAGGGGCCAGGTACCATCTGCTTTCATTGGCTATTGGTTGCCTAGCCTTTAATGGGTCCAGCAATTCATCCATTAAAGATATCTTCATTTTTGTATTTTAAAAAAGCAACGCACTGTTTTCTCATTTAACTGTGGAACTAATTCCCTCATGTCATGTGTCTTGTCAATTTTACCACCATTAAATGGCATTCCTTAGATACCAGATTGCTCAGCGCCACCTACAGGATGTTAAATTGTACTACAACCAACAAGAGTAACTCAATAAGAGTAGCAAACTATTGCTTTTTGTCTATCTTGTATTCTAAAATAATATGTAAATGAAGGTAAATGATTTGCACTCATCGAGTTACAGTTTGGAAGTAGATCATTCCTTATTGGTGGCCACACCAAAGCTTGAAAGAGAAATTAAAAGTGCCTGTTTGGTTAGAGTTTACAGGGTAAAAATGCAGGAAGTTGGAATGTTCTAGCTGTGTTTGTATTGGTTTCTATGCACAACCCAAATAATATACTTATAGATTTGTCAGCTTCCCCCTAAATTTTGTCCATGTGAGTGTGTGTGTGTATATGTGTGGTGATAAGACATTTGACAATGAGCTCTTTTGGTGGCAGGGTCTGATATCAATGACCCATGTAAATCATTGC